GGCAGAGGCAAGAGCAGCTTTTGCAAGACCAGAGGAAGGGTCATTAGAGCTTGGAGCAGGATGTAATCCCAAGGTCAGTCCAAAGGCAGGGCTGTCTGGTTTTGCTGGCAGAGCAGAGGTAAAGTGGGACAACAGGAGGAATCTGGGAAGTCTCAGGGATCCAGGCTCCCTGAGTGAGAAGAGGAAGATTGTGGGAGTGGGGGCGTGGTCCCTCCATTAGGATGTATGACCTCATTTTCTCCATCCGCCTATTTCTTAGAGGGAGTATTTATTGGCTGGGCTTGAATTTTTGCAGTTCAATTCTAGTACAAGTCCAGGTCCCCAAGGGGCCCTGGACATGTCATTTTCCTAAAGGAGCTGCCACTGAGCAAGAGCACTTTCATGATCCAGCAAAGTGTCTAGTTCACAGATCTTTTGTGTTCTTCTTTTTTTATTTTGCAACTCATAGTCCAGAGAGTTAGGGATTACTACTGGCTAGGCACTGAGGAATTACTCTTGGCAGTACGCAGGGGACCATATGGGATGCTGAGGATTGAACCTGAGTCCGCCACATGCAAGGCAAGGTACTGGCTGTACCATTGCTCTGGCCCTTCACAGTTCCTTTGAAGCTTTATCTCCATCCATCTCTTCCTGAACCCCTCTGTCACTGCTCTCTGAGAACCTGATTCTCAGCCACTTTGATCTGGCATGTGCCCCTCTATGCCATGTCTTCGTTCTAGCCGTTTTCCTCAACTCACTGTTTGATAAGGGTCATATTTTGTGTCTGTCAGCTGGGTGCCATGTGGCAGAGTGAGCAGTGTTTGGATTTGGTGAGTTTTGGGAAACACCAAAGCTAGAAAAGAGATTCTGGTCTGAGATGGGTAAAGGGGTTGCAGGTCGAGTGGGTGACTGACAAGAGACTACAGAACATGTCCTAGAGGCCCTCGGTTGATTCTGAGCAGAAGTAGACATCTGGGAGAGACACAGCATACACGTTTATGGCAGAGGCCATTACTGTAGACAGTGGACTTTCACTGTTCAATTCAGTGAGGGGATTCAGAAACAGAAGGTGAGAGGTTCTGGTGGGCGTGGGGTGGGGGGGGGTGGGAATTCCAACAAGAGGCCCTGGTTCCCAACATGATGACATGGGCAGGCAGGGCTCCCAGCATCCAGAAGCCAAACCAAACACAGTGAAGTAGTGTTACTGAAGAGGAAGGCAGCACTGCCTGGGTCAGCGCAGTGCCCTGACCACTTCCAGAACTTTACCTGTGAGCCTTACACAGGAGTTTTGACACACTGGTTTTCCCTGGGGTCTGAGCAGGGTCACCAAAGTGGGATGCTCATCTTCCAGGGGGTCCAAGACAATCTAATTGTGACTGAGATGAGGACATGCCAATTACTTCCATAGATCCCAGGCTCATTCTTTTGCTCTCTTGGCCGTACTGAGATTCCAAGCACACCTACAGAGTTTGTAAGTGAATGCACTGGGAATACCCTTTTAGAATTCTCTTTTGTTGATAGAGCATTTGATTAAAGAAGCGTGAAGGTTATTCTTGCAGGACACTGGTGGTCAAGAAGTGAGCAAGGGGCAGAGGAGATGTGTTTCAGTCCTTGCTGAGATGGGGAATAAAAAGATTCCAGGGCTGGGCTGGGGAGATAGCACAGCCGGGGCGGGTGGGGGGGCATTTGCCTTACATGTAGCCCACCCATTTTCTATTCCTGGCATCCCAAATGGTCCCCTGAGCCCTGTCTAGGGTTGATTCCTGAGTGCAGAGACAGAAGAAAGTCCTGAGCATTGCGGAGTATGGCCTGAAAGCTGGGGGTGGGGGGTGGGGGAGGAGGAAAAAGATTCTAGGGCTGGAGAGATGGCTACAGCAAGCAGTCACTTGCCTTTCACATTGCCCACCTGAGTTCAATCCCCAGCACCCCAGATGATCCCCCAAGTCCCATCAGTAGTGACTCCTGAGTGCAAATCCAAGAGTTATCCCTGAGCTCAGTCTGGTTTGGACCCCAGACAAAACTCAGTGGGAAGCTACAGGTGTGGAGAGATTAGAAACTTGCTGATTTATTGGGGGACAGGGATAATATGGGTGATCCTGGGACAAGGAAGTTCTTTGGCTCCTGGTGGGGAAGAGATGCTTGGGCTACATCAGCCATGGGGACAGTCACTCCCTTGTCCGTCCTCCTGCTTCAGCCTGGAGTCCCCTGGCCCACCCGGCAGCTCCGTGTTGAAAAGCCTTTCAAGGGGGTACTGGCAGAAAGGGGTGTGGTGTGTTTGCGTGTTGAGGGGGCAGAGAAGGGAAGTAGCAACAGCAGAGACCGAGTGGGGACTATCCTTTGCGTCCTTTCTTTGGAGATATATATATATATATATATATATATATATATATTTTTAGGGAGGGTGAGGGGGAAGGAACCCACACTCCACCCGCTGGCCTCACACCTGCAAAGCAGCCCAAGCACTAAGGCAGATTCCTGGCCCCAAAGGAGCTGCGCTGCCAGCTCAAAACACAGACACAGGAATCAGGGAAAGACACGCCTCCCTTCGCCCGGCAGCGCCGGTACCGTAAGGGTGTCCCAAAAACACGGTTCTCCCACCCCAGACCCGCCCCCGCACTCCCCCTCCCGCCTCCGGGGCAGGCAGACCCACGCAGACGAATCCAAGCGGAAGCCGCCTACGGTAAAGGCGCGTGCGCCCAGCCCGCACTGACCCTAGCTGAGCCCACCCGGAGTCTGCAAGGCGCATGGTGCGCAGGAGGTGCGTCTTGGAGCTCCTGGAGCCCGCAGGTTCTGCACCCACCCTCCCAGCTCTCCATCCTCTCCTCCGCACCAGGAAACTTGGGAGCTGCGTCTGCGGGTCCCCTCGGAGACGCACGCGGTGGGGAAGGAAACTGCGGCTGCGCGCAGAAGGACCTGCGCCGCCCCCCCACCCCACCCCGCGTCTAGGCACCCCGACCTGCCCTAAGTCTGGGTGCCTGAGGGAGAGGCAGGGTCACGCAGTCGGCCGGGATAGAGGAGTTCTTTTGCATTTTTGAAAAGATGGAATCATTGTGAAAATTGAGAAAGGGAAGACCCCTCTATTCCACGGGCGGGCTTGGCAGGGGTGGGGCTGGTTGTTGCAGGGCAGAGTGGGTCGCGTTTTTGCGGGCTCGGTTAGAGCGTCTCCGCCAAAGTTAGGAGTGGGTGGCCGCAATGGCACGGTCATCGAGGGAGTTATTCTGGATCGACCAGTACGAGGACAGGCCTGTCCCAGAGACATGGAGAGACAAACCTGGAGCCATGGGAAGTGACATACAAAACTTTATTATTATTATTATTTATTATTATTTATTTATTTCTCATGTGCACAAAAAAAAAGAGAGAGAGAGAAGAAAAGAAAGAAAAGAATCAAAACGGACCGACGCACTGAAAATGGCCACGGAGCCCAAGCGCCGTCGGGGGATCTGTCGAGGGTTCAGCTGGGTCCTGGGTCTGGGGCCCGACGCCGGCCAATGCCGTGGAGGCTGGGGTGGGCCGGCCTGGGAGCCCGAACCTCAACCTCACACCCTCGCCGCCCCGCTCGGGCCTTGGAGCCTGGCTGGGCGCCGGCAATTCCCTTAAACTATTCTCTTTTCTCGTTTTTTTTATGTTTTTCTCTTTTTCTTTCCCTTTTTCAAATAAAAAAGGCTCGAAAGGGGAGAGCGATCTGGGCGAGGACTCCAAGCCTTTTTGGATTTGTTCAAGGATTTTTATTTATTTATTTTCACTTTTATTGACTTTTGTTTCTGTTATTTCGAGTCGTCACGATCCACGGGTGAGGAGACATGCAGGGCGCATCGCCGCTACCGAGAGAGCAACTACAGGGCGGGGCGGCCCGGGGCGCGCGGGGCAGGAGGGGCGAGGCCGGGGGCTGAGCTGCCACCTCGGAGGAACGGGCCTGCGGGGGCCGGGCCGGGCTGGGGAGGGAGGCCGAGGGCCGGGACAGAGACCAGAGACGAGAGACAGGAGAGACAAAAGACCGGGAGAGGTGGGGGGAGATGGGGGGAGAGAGAGAGAGAGGAGGGAGGAGAGGAGAGAGGAGAAAGACTGGGGGAGAAAGAGAGGAGGGAGAAAAAGAGAGACTGGGAGAGGAGAGGAGAGGGGAGAGAGACAGACAGACAGCCGACAGACAGACCGGAGTGGGGAGAAGCAGAGAAAAGAGACTGCAAGAGGGCAGAGATGCGGAGGAGAGAGCAAAACACGGAATTACAGAGAAATAGCCAACAAAACAGAGGCGAGAGGAGTCCATAGGACCATGTTCATCATTTTTGCATAGAGATTTCTTTTCTTTCGTAATTTTTTTTGTAACATAAAAAAGGCCCCCCTCCCCCCGGACGTGCTGTGCTTCGGAGGGCGCGGAGCTGTGTCCCCCAGTTCCCCGGACCGGCGGCTCCTTTCCCGGCACAGACAGCGGGGGCGGATCTACAGGCGGGCGGGCGGGTGGCTGGCTGGCGGCGGGGCGCGGGCGGGCGGGCGGGCGGGGCGGAGGGCGGGGTTATGTACACGGGTCGCCTTCACGCGAGACACACACCGTCTTTCTACGAAGCAGCAGCCTGGTGGGGTTTTGTTTTGCTTTTTTTTTTCTTTCCTTTTTGCAAAGACCATCATATTAAATAAACGCAGACTTTTTTTTTCCGGTCTGTTCAGTTCCTGCCGGAGGAGGAGGAAGGGGGGGGGGAGGAGGAGGAAGGGGGGAGGAGGAGGAAGAGGAGGAGGGGGGGAGGAGGTGGTGGTAGTCTGAGTGGGTTAGGGGAATGGGCAAGCCCCCACGCCCACCCCACACTTCCACCCTGCAGCTGTGCAGACGCCAGCTCGGAACCTGCTCCTCCCAGCAGCAGATTCAGTGGGGAGGGGGGGCGGAGAAGGAGGGGCAGGTCCCCAACTGGGGAAGACCCTCTCGGCCCAGGGACACCGGCCCAGCGCGCCTGCAGAGGGGCTGCGTGTTAGGGTGTAGAGGAACGGGGGGCAGACGGGCAGGCGTGTTAGGGTGTAGCTGGGGGGAAAGGCAGACGAGCGGGTAGGAGGAGGGGCCCAGGAGATGGAAGAGACGCCCGGGTAGGGTTCCCACGAGAGTCTGGCCACTAGCAGGCGTGTCTGCTCCTGAGGCTTCGGCAGCTCAGGTGGAGTTGGGGCCAGCCAGAAGTCAGCCCCGCGGGTGCGGGCTGCTGGGACCTGCGTGCCAAGCTTGCAAAGACCTCACGACCCTAGCCCGCGTTTCTAGAGCCCGCTCCCCACGGCTCCCATTCAAATTCCACCCTGGGAAGGTGGGGGGACAGTCCGGCCGCGGGGGCTTTGAAGCACGTTCCTCCGACGGTTCGTCGTCGCGACGCTCTTCCTCCTTCGACAGAAAATCCGTTTTGTTTTTCATTTCCCTTTGCCCAGTCCCTCCAGCGGAGCCTCCTGGCGCCTGAGCAGCCGAGGTGGGCAGCCCCGGGCCCGGGCCGCGCTGCAGTCCGCGCTGATTGTGTGTCACAGAAACGTGTCCCTCCCGCGCGCGCGCGTAGTGGCGGGCCGGGCCGGGCTGAGCCCGAGGCGGGCGGCGTAGCTGGGCCGAGGCGGCGGAGGGAGCAGACTCGGGGACTTGCCCCCTCTCGGCGTCCAGGCAGGCGGGGAGGGGCAGCGAGCGGGGGGGTGGGGGCGGCTGGCCCGGGCCTGAGGGTCCCGCCCGCGGCTCCGCCCGTCCTGTCCGGCCTTGGACGGGGTGACGTGAAGGGCTGCAGGGGTCCTGGGCAGGGGGCTTGGGGGGCTGGGGCGGCGGCCGGGAGGCATCGCGAGGCGTCGGTCCTCCCTCCCTCCGGGGTGGGCGGTCAGACGGGGACGATGTGGAGGCCGAAGCTGTCGGCCTGAAGCTTGATGTGGTCCCCGCGGTAACTAGTGGCGGTCATAGGCAGCGGCAGCAGCGGCAGGGGCGGAGCCCCGGGGGGCGGCACTATAATAATAAGGGGAACCTGGAAGTTAACACAGGAGAAGAATGGGCTGGGTGAGAGGACAAACAGGAGAACAAAAAAGGAAAGAAAAGCAAAGAAAAGACCTCCCCGGGGCTGGGCGACCCGGGCTGGGCTGCGGGGACCCCGCACGTCCCTGGAGACCCGGCTGGAGTGCGAGCGGGACTCGCCGTGTCGCCGCCGCCGCCCGACGGCTGATTTCGGTGGGGCGCGGAGCGCGAGCGCGGCGCGCAGGCTTCCAGCGGGGCCGAGGGGCGGGCAGGGGCGTCCTCGGGGTGGGGGGGGGGACCGCGGGACCCCCCGAGCCGGCGCCCGAAGGTCGCGACGCGGGCTGGGGTGGGCCCTGCGCCGGGAGCGGCTGCGCCCCGCGGGCCGCGGCGGCGCGCAGAGCCGCCCGCCAGCCAGGTGGCGTTACTCACTTAGTAAGGCGGGGTTGCTGAATCTCCAAGCCTCGTTGTAGGCCGTGTACTGGGGGTGGCTGTACGGGTTGCCAGAGAACTCGCTCCCTGCCGGAGGTGGGGGAGTGGAGGGAGTCAGACGCGTGCCACGTCCGGGGGACCCGACGTGCCCGGTCAGCGGCCACCCCAGGGTCCGAGGTTGCAGGCAGGGCGATGCCCGCTGCAGCCGTGCTTGCGTGCGGAGCAGTCAAGCGAGTCCGCGGGGGAAGAGCCCGTGGTGGTGGTGATGTTGGTGGTGGTGGTGATGGGGGCGAGTACCGAACCTCCTCGCGAGTGGAGGGCCGTGTTGGACAGCGCCTACCCAGGGCTCTGCGCGGACGCCTTTTGCACCATCTGGGGAAGTATTCTCAGGACCGCCGCTGTGGAGGGCTCCGGGGGCCTTTTAGAGGGGACTCGGATGGAAGCGGGGAAGGGAAGCGGAGAAAGCCCCTCGGGACACTTTGTCCCAGAAAGCCCTAAGAATGGCATCGTAGCGCTATGCCAGACATGTTGTGGGTGTGGGGTTGGGGGGCTCAGCTGGGAAACGCGCCCCTCCTGCCTCTCCCTGGAGAGATGGGCTACCTGGGCCCGCGCGCCGGGGCAGGCAGCGGCGGGAAGCAGGTGGACCATCGCCTGCCGTGAGCGTGAGCGGAGGGCCCGTGGGCTGGGCGCCGACGGAAGCCGCCTCCCTCCCTCCGCGGGAGAAAGGCCAGGCCTCCGGGTCTCCCCCTCGCCCTTTCTCCTGTGTGGTGACCCCAGACTGTTTACAGTGATCCCTAACCGCGGGTTAAGTAGAGGAGAAGGGGCCCCTGTAGGAGAGGGAGCTGGGGTGGGGGTGGGGGGTGCAGCCACTGGAAAGCCTGTTTATTGACGAGGAGGGAAAGCATGCGTGCAGCAGGATAATGAGCTTCTGAGCTCAACTGTGACCAAGAGGAACTGAGCTATCTCCTTCCCCATCGCTAATGAAACAAGTGTAATTTCCTCATCAGCACTAGATTCTGTTTAACGACTCCCCCCTTGCCACCACTAGCTCTCCTCAGCTCCCCTCATCCCCACCTCCTTGCAGACTGCCCCCCTCCCCCCACCTCTCCGAGACCTCCTCCAGCCTCCACCTGCTCACTGCTGCCACCTTTGCAAGCTCCTCCTTGCACCTCTCACCCCCCTACCCCCAAGCCAGGGCAGGAAGCCTTTCACCCACACCCCCAGCTGTCCTCCAGCCCTCTGGCTCCCTGGCCCCTATCCTACTAGATCCTTCAGCCCCCCTGCCCTGCCCCTTGGCTATTCTCCCTCCCCCAGGCTCTGCCCACCCAGTTCTGTCCCTGGGTGGATGACCCAGGGATATGCTAATTTCCCTTTTCCCACCCCACCATGGGAGTTAGCTTTAGGGGGCACAGGAGACAGCAGCCCCGTGAGCCCCCTCCCCTCACCCCGCCCACTTAAGATGAGAGTATTTTTGGTGTTTATGCAAATAAGAGCTTCAACTCTTTGGCTTCAAGCTGGGCTCCCAGTCTGGGGTGAAACCTCTGGATGCAGCCACAAACCCTATGTGTGGTCTGTGTGACTCTGACCTGCACAGCTCAAAGCCAACTCCTCCTGAAGGGTGGGTCAGTGCCTCCAAATCAGGGAGCAGCTTCCCCCAGGGGAGGGAAACCAGTCTCTGCTTCCTGTTTGGCCTCCATGCCTCCTGCCGCTGGGATTAGCTCCCTCCTGGGGACTGGGGTCTTTTCTGTGGGTGGATGTGGGCCAGGGGCGGGGAGGAGGCTCTGGGCTTTGAGTGACTGACATGCTCCTGGAAATGGTTCTTGGCTAGAAGTTTCCATGGCAACCAAGGCAAGCTCTCCTTAGCAGTGTCAGCTGGTTGGGAGTGGGCTGGGTCTGAGCTTGGGGCTGAGGCTGGGCGCTCCCAACCCTGGCACGGGGCACAGGTGGGTGGGTGTTGGGGAGGGGTCCTGGCAGACAGTGGGATGCCTACCCGGGCCATTTCTGCAAGCTCCTTCCTGGGTTGCTCTTGGGGGAGGCTGAGGGACCAACAGCAGCCTCTAGGGAGAGAGCAATGGTTGGTGGGGGGGACTGGGTGTTGGGTCGCCCTGCCCCCTCTGGCCTCAGTCTACAGACCTCTCAGCTCACCCACAATTTAGTCACCCCCCCGTAAATTAAGTAGCTGCAGCATTGTCACCTACCAGGCACCATTCCTGCCAGGGTGGAGGTGGGGTAGCTTCCCTGGCCAGTGGGGGGCACGTGAGGGGGGTAACCAGGTAGAGTGGTGCTCGCCATGTCACGACCTGGAAAAACACAAAGGGGAAGGGGGTGAGGGTCAGAAGAGGGGGGCCTGCCTCTGCTTACCTCTGGGTACACGCAAAAGGGGCAGTTGGACAGGCAAGAGCCATATGCAGACATGTGGGGGGTGCATCAGAAAGAAGGGCCCCTGGAGACCTTTCCCTGAATGTCACCCCCGACTCCATCAGCCTGGGCCCCTGCACAGCGCTGTCTCTCTCTGGGCTTTTTTGTGGGCAGGTGGGGTAAGGAACCACGTGGCCTGGTTTTTAGTCCTTCAGAGCCTCTACTGGGGTCTCTCCAGCAGCCAAACATAGCAAGTGTCATCTTGTCACCTCTCCCTTCCCTGAACATCTCCCCTTCCTGCAGGCTGGAGGACTCCTTGCACCCTTGAGGATCTTTTGTGGGGTCCCTCATCCTCCAGCAGTGGGGGGTAGCTGCAGGAGCTGGACCTGCAGGTGGGAGAGCAGGAGGCTATTTGGCTGTTAGTGTGGATGACCTTTAGATGGTCCGCAGAAACTATCCTGGAAATGAACTGGGAGCTCTGAGCTGACAGTACCAGTGGGTCAGTTCAAGGTGCTATGAACAAAATTTGCTCTCTTTCACACACACACACACACACACACACACACACACACACACACATACAAGTGCACATATGCGTGCATGCACACACCCGACACACCCAACCCAACATCCAACTTAACCATGTCAGTCTTGGGACTTCTGTCCCTGAACTGGCAAAGGAGGTTTCCGTCAAAGCTTCCCTTAGCAGGGGCCTGCAGTGAAAACAAAGCGAGTCCGGGATGTACCCATGTCCACAGATGGCTCCTGTGGACTCCACTGCACTTGAGTGCTACCCTCCTTTGCCAGAAAGGGGCCCCGCCTCCTCCCTGGAGGAGCATGTCCCACCCTCTCGCCTCCCCCCTCTTCGCACCCAACACACTGCTTCATCCTCTTCTGCTTCCCCCAGCCCCTTGGTCCTTTCCAGAGTCCTCTTCTCCCCTGCCAGTGCCATCCTGACCACCCCCCAGGTGACGGGGACTCCTAGAACGCGGCCTCTGTGGCTCAGCACCTTTGTCTCTCCTGGCTCACATCCCACAAGGTCTCTTCTGAAGCACCCCCCCCCTCCCATCTCCTCTGACCACATCCCCCTTCACTCTGACCTTACTTGCCTCTGGGCACTACCTTCACACCACCACTGAGTGACCCCTCCCTCAGCAAACAGATGAGCTGGGATTTCTGCATTTCCCGTTGAATGTTTGCATCAGCCGTGCCACAAATATAGCAACTGAAGTGGATTCAGCTTCTCCCCATTCAGTTCTATTGCCCATCAGACCAAACAGCTGAACCCAAACACTGGACAGAGCCCTTCCCTCCCTGTCTGGTGAAGATGGTGGTCAAATGCTGTCAAGTCTCCTTAACCATGTCAGTCCTTCGTCCCCTCTCTGCTACCTTCAGAGTTCAATTCCTGACCATCTGCCTTGGGTTTACCATACCCTTTTGGCTTAGGTGGCCTGCCTCTTCTACTTTTTCAGGTCTGTTCAAATGTGGTAGCTTGGTTTGTTCTTATGAACATTGCTTTCATCAAGCTACTTATTTTGTAAAACACCATCAGTGATTCTCTGTGGTCTGAAGTTTGATTCTGAAATCTCCCAGGGTTTCCAAACCTCCCGACACACTTCCTTCCCCTCCTGTCTCCCCAGTCACTTTCTGGACTCTGATTATGATCCCTCCTAGACTGTTTTCACTGTTCATGTGCTGGAAAACTGCTGTTTCTGCCCTGTTATTTTCTTTTTAGAGTCTTCCTCTCCTTCCAGCCCAACCTATACAACCCTTACCATTCTACCCAGCAGAAAAGTTGCTTCCGGGGCTGGAGCGATAGCGCAGCAGGTAGGGCGTTTGCCTTGCCCATGGCCAACTCAGGTTCGATTCCCAGCATCCCATATGGTCCCCCCCCCCCCCGAGCACTGCCAGGAGTGATTCCTGAGTACAGAGCCAGGAGTAACCCCTGAGCATCGCCAGGTGTGATGCAAAAAAAAAAAAAAAGTTGCTTCCTTCTCAACTTCTTTCTGTCCAAACTGTGTGGCTTGTCATGTTATATTTCACAGAGTGTCAGCCCCGTGGCCTCCCATCATGACTTGCTTCTTCAAACTGAACAGAACCAACCTCAGGGCAGGGCCCTGTCTTCTCTATCTTGCATAGTTGAGAACATGATAAATGTTCAATAAAGGCACATTGATTAATTCTCTATTACTCTATTGCACCAGTAGCCAATTCCACAGGTAATACTGTTTTCTGAGCGTTTAATATGTATTGGCTTCCTTTAAAGTGGTCAGGATTGCACCCAGATGTCATGTTAGGATCTGTTTCTCTAAAAATACTGGCCAGGGCAATTGTACAGCAGGTAAAGCATTTGACTTGTATGCAGCCAACCAGGGTTCAATCCCCTGCATACCATATGGTCCCCTAAGCACTACCAGTAATAATTCCTGAGCACAGATCCAGAAGTAACCCCTGAGCATTGCCAGGTATGGCTCCCCCAACTTCCCCTAAAATAAACTTTAAATTAAATGTTTTTCCCTCTCTTTTTTTTAAATTAAATTTTTATAGGAAGATGAACAATTATGGTGAGAAGCTCATGAATTGTTATCTAATCTCCTCTTGCAACTGAATAATTCCAACCCCCATACCCATCTAATTTAGCTAAGATCTTGCACTTCCCCAAACTCAAAAGAAAAAAAAAAAGTAAAATATCAAACGAGATCTTGTGTGACTCCCAGACAGAAGAGTGTGTGCTGACTTTGTTACAGGCTTTCTTTTACCTATTTCTCTTGACAATTAAACATATACTCCTGAAGTGTCCTTAGCTGAAGTGAACAGTGACAGATCTCTTGATTCCTAGAAAGACTAATTATACAACATTTACTGGTCCCAAAAAGGCCCAGGACCATTAGGGAAAATGTGTGAAATTCTGCATTCGGGAAGATAAAGAAACCCCATCCCTCCTGGTCCTGCAATCTCAAATCTGCAAAGCAGCCAGAAAAGAAAACTACTTTAAAAAAAAATAAATGAACAAGAATTTAAATGCATCTGAGTTCTGATTTTCAGCTGTGTGGTTCCCATAAGCTGTCACACATGAATTCCATGTAATCAATGGTTTTGTCACACAGCCTCCCGTCTTACTGCATGAGAACGGAAAACTGGAAAGGTGTGTCCAGATAATCTTGAGGCACCCCTGCCACATACTTATTCCTACTGACTTTCTCTCCTACAAAGTGGTAAGGCCCATTTCCAGCTTGAAAGACGTATTTCCAAGATGGAAATTTTAAAAGATGGAATCCGGGGGGACTAAAGAGATAGTACAGGGGTTAAGGGGCTTACCTTGCAAGTGGCAACCCAGGATTGATCCCAGCACCACATACAGTTCTGGTGGTGCCCCTGGTTGTGTCTGGGCACGGAGCCAGGGGTGAGTCTCAAACCCAGGCAGGTGTGGCCCAAACTCCCTCCAACACCCCCAGCAAAAAGAAATTAGAATGTATTTGCAGGCATTCTTAAAATGTCAACTAAAGAGGCCTAGAATGAGGGAAAGCATTCCCAAATAAATTATCCCTATAGCTTCCTGCTGCCTGCACAGACTTGGAACACCAGTGTTGCTACAAGGAGACCCCCCAATACCTCCATACAGGACTCCTGAGCCAACTAAGGTGTGTGCTATTGCACACAAAGCATTTTCAGTGGCTTCATTAGTATACAGGCCACCTGAAGAGCAGGAAAAATATGGACCCAACTCTTGCCAGAGCTATATATTCTTGTGGAACACCATTGTCAATAATGGAAAATGCGTACTGCAGGAAGTTTTCACATTACTAAGACCATCAGACCATTTGCCCAGCAGCATTCTTTGAGCAAGTGAGAGAATGTGCATGGGTAATGGGATATGTATGGGTAAGGAAGAATCGACAGAGCACGAGGTCTTGCATTACTATACACAGAGGGATAGACCAGGGCAAAGATGCCCTCTCACACCCTAGACACCACAGTGCCGTGGCCCCCTCCAAAAAAAAAAAACAACCAGAAAGCATAAAAATGGGAAGAAGCAGCTACAAGCCAAGACTTAATGATTACAGAAACGTGCCAGCCAACAGAAGCTAGGAAGCAGAAAAGGCTTTCCTTTGCTCCCCTGATAAATTCAGTAACAGGCAAATTATACCTGGATTCATAAATGTATCACATCCTTCTCATTAAAGGAAGATGAGCATTTCATGTTAGAAACTTGCTTCTTAAAGTTATAACGATTTTAAAGATGAAAGAGACACCAGGATGAACAGTCTAACAGCCTTCTTTGTTTCAAAGTTGGGGAAATGGCCTCCCTGTGGTTATCAAGCAAATCAATGTTAGCACCCAAGTCTCTTACAAAACCTTTTAGGGATGACATGAAGCAGTTCCTCCTCAAAAAGAGTCAAAGGAAAGATGAAAAATCATCTCACAAACAATGTTTAATATTGTCAGTGCTGTCACTGAGACCAGGCAAGAAAAACAGAAGACAAAGAAAAAATACCGATGCTGAAAGTCTGTAGTAAAACTCCATGGGGTGGGATATTAATCTCCTTTGAGAGTTTTCTGAAAAACAAAGAGCCTCTTGCAGAAACAGTAGTAGTTGAGAATCTTAAAAGTCCCCAGAAGTGTTGGAAGCACTGTACTTGATGAGGATGCCTCCTCAGTTCAACTGCAGAAGTCCCTGAAGATTCTAAAGCCAATTTCTTCAGCAATCACTACATCTGAATCAGACAGTGCACTTTTGTCAGACATTCCTTACCAAATGGGCCAGAGCAAATCAATGGTTCTGGAGAATCTAAGTGCAGTTTCTCTTGCAAGTACAGAGAAAAGCAAAGAAATTAGAAAAATTTGTTAACCAGATAATTTATGCTATTTTGTCAGGCTCAAGGGTCAAGGCCAGCATTGGGCTTCCACCTGCACAAGCACTGACGGCTTACACTACGCTAGG